GCTTTTTCGTAAGCTCTCATATTATTTTTTAGTGGAAGAACGATGCTTCCCTTACCATCCAGCCGTCCAATTTTGATCAAGAGAGCAAATGACCGTTTGATCTTAGATCTGACATCTCAAAGTATTTTATTTTTAGTTTTTTTATACAAATTGCATGAATATAAAAATATTCATATTAAAAATATTAAATATTAAAAATACCCCTTGAAACTTTTAGGGGCGCACCTACAAAAAGTAAATTTTTTTTTATAAGTTTTTTTTTGATAAATTATTTTTTGATAAATTATTTTTGATAAATTGAAAATACCCCTTGAAAATTTTAGGGGCACACCTACAAAAAATATTAAAAATAACTTTTCGATAAAATATAATGACCAAAATACCCCTTGATAATTTCAGGGGTATTTTGGTCATTTTATTTTATTGAAATTTTGTATATATATATTTTTTGCTAGTGCGAGTTTAATAGAGGATTGGACATCCAAAATTTGGTATCAAAATAGTTTATAGAAAACAAATTAAAAATAAAATAGTATAGAGATGTGACATTGTGATTGGGGCAATCTTAACCCTCCATTCAGAATGGACGGTTGGATAAAGGGAAGTATATAAGTTTTATGTTGTAGAGGAAGCATAAAAAGCTTACCTTGTTTTTTTATTACATTTTGATTCCTAATTTTTTGATGCATTAGATTCCAAGAAGAGTGAAGGGGAGAGATTGGGTATAAAAGAAGAGTTAAATAGATGGAAGAGAGAATCTTTGGTTGTGAGGGCCTCGTTCCTTCACTTTCTCTTTGAGCGTAATCAAAATTGTTTCATAAATTTCTCTATTGATGAAACCTTTCTTCAGTTTCTGCTTAAGATGAAAAAGATGAGCACTATAATAAATTGCTATTTTATGCTCCTCTCTCTCTTTCAAACTAGAAAGATAAACTTAAATCCAATACAGATGCTTATGCGGAGCGATTTGAATGGCAACCAACTCAACCTATTAACTTGTCATTGTTATGTATATGTGACATTAGCAATGAAATAAAATAATCCCAGCCATCCATACAAATTAGACGGCTGGGATATTACAGATGTAGATAAAAAATAGGGAAAATTATGAATATCCCTCTGAAGTGCACTTTACAGGCTTTCCATCCCTTAATATTTTTAGTATCACACTTGTTTTTTTACTTTTACCTATCAAAAAGTTAATATTTTAATGACAAAACTACCATTCTCCTTTTTTATTCTACTTGTTAAAACTCTCTCTACTCTCTGCCTGCCCCATATCAATTAAAACTCTCTCGCTCTACTCTCTTTCTCTACCTGCCCGATAGTAGTCAAAACTCTCTCTAGTCTCTTTCTATCTAACCGATATCAGTCTATCTCTCTACCTAATCGATATCAATCTCTCTCCTCTACTTGCCTGATATCAGTCTCTCTCTCTACTAAATATAAGTCATCTCTCTCTCGTTGAAAAATACGGTCCGGCATAAAAGTGTGTTGGACCGGTCAAGAGGCTTCTGGAGCTCCGAAAGCTAGTTTGGCACACTTTTGTGTCGGACCGCAGGACCGGTCAAGAGGCTTCTAGAATTCCAAAAAAGAGAAACCAGAAGCCAATCCCGCACACTTTTATCTCAGACCGCATTTTTCAAGAATTCCAAAAACGAGAAACCAGAAGCCAATCCCGCACACTTTTATCTCAGACCGCATTTTTCAACCCAAGAGAGAGAGAGACTGATATCGGGCAGGTAGAGAGAGAGAGACTGATATCGGGCAGGTAGAGAGAGGGAGACTGATATCAAGCGGGTAGGAGAGAGAGGGTTTTAATGAGTAGGATAGGGGAGAGGAACGATACTTTAGTCTTTAAAACATTAACTTTTTTACTAGGGGGTAAAAGCAAGAGAAAACATTACTTGGATTATGGGTGTGAAACTAAAAGCGTTGCGGGTAGAATGTCTACAAAATGCACTTTAGGGATATCCATAATTTTCTCTAAAAGATATAAGGTAGAGAGCGTATGGCAAGTTTGCTCCGTAATCATGTAGCACTCATTGAAATATCGTTTTTAATTGGACAGGCCAACCTTTACTGGAGCCCAACCTAGGACCAAAATGTAGTTTTGCACTTGACCAAGTCACACTCAACATAATAGCGAGACCCGAGATTGGACCAAAATTTGTGTCGGGCTGTATAGAAATCTAAAACGAAAGTTTAATATATGCCTAGAGTAATGATCCTATGATACCCTCCCATACCCATGTGTGTAGGATCCCAAATAATCACTATTAAATTTGGTACAGATGTCTAGAAAAGTAAAATCTCACACCTGTGTGGGAACTTTTATAGAAATTTGTGTTAAATTTAATGGTGATCCTTTGAACCCTACACATACGGGTGTGGGAGGGTCTAATAGGATCATTACTCATATAACTATTATATGTTTCAAAAAACTCAGTTTAGGCCTTCCTAAAAATATTTCGGGCTTACTAAGCCATACCCATGGACCTTAACATGTGACCTACACCCAACCTAGAACCCGGTCCCCCGTAGAAAGCAGGCCTAGGCAAATTGACAGCCCTAAACTGAAAAGGGCAATGAAGAAAATGGCATATAGCCCAAAGTTAATATTGTTTGGACCTTTGGTCACAGTCGCCTAGTGAGAAGATCCATATCTGAAACAAGTTGTCATGAAGAAAAACGTTTATCTTGATATTTTACAACCATTCATTCACAGCAAAAAATTTGCTGAAATAAATTCATAAAAATTTGGTTTAAGAACAAATTTGTAAGTTTTGTGTACAAATACAAGAGGAGGTTTAATTGCCCCTTCAAATTGAGACTTTGGGGTTGTATTTCTGTTGACAATCATGCCTCAAAAGCCATGGAGAATCATAGGCTCTGAAACGACTTGATGAGGCACTAGAGAAGGATGAGAGGCTCTGCAGCATGCCATGGAAACCAATGCCTTCTCCACCTCCTTTGAAGCATTCTTGTTCAACAAGGAGACCATGTACTCCATCACAAATGACTCGCAAGGCACAGTAAAAGGGCAGCATCCTATGAATCCAAACTCTTCTTCGGCTACCAAAAGTATCTCCTGAAAGATGTGTCGATTAAGAAAGGCCAGTGGAATCACGAATCGGCTTCCATCTACTGTATAAATGACAAATGGACCCTCATCAGCAATTGAATCCATTCGATTACTAGTATTTCTTTTGAGCGATATTCTCCACCTCTGACTCATGCCTTTTTTCTGCCATTTGTACACTCTCTCCAAGAGCCTATTTGAATTGATCATGGCTGAATGCAAAATTTAGAGGAACTTAATATTTGTTTCTTGGGTAAGCAGGGGACCTTATGTGTGTAACTAGAAAGAAGAGAAGACAAGTTGAGAATTGAAGAGTTTGTGGCGCAAGAATGAGCTTGTGGTGGTGTGAATGGGAGGTGATGAGCTCAGCCTTATATTGAAATGTGCAGAGAGAGAGAGCCGTTGTTGTTGGGTTACAAGAACTGAGTCCATGTTTGGAGTTAGTTGAGTCATCACCTCTCATGGGCCAGGATGAAAAAGGCTTGCTTGAGCGTTTTCACATATTGTTTCAACTAAAGCAAGTGGTTTGGTTTTGAAATAATGAGATAAAAACAAAGCCTCATGGGATGTTGCCAAACTGCCTTAGAATATATACATAGCTTTGAATAGTGGTCCCCAACATTCTCTCAGTAGTTGTTAGGTTTGGGTTGAATACTTATGGCCCAAATTTGCCAATTGATGTAGAAATATATATATTTCATGTGCCAATGCACTCCTTGCAATCAGCAAGTACCATCATGTTTGGTTTTTTTGTCTGTCTCAACCCCTTTTTCTCTGGCCATTTTGTGGCCACAATGCATGCCCCAAAATGTTGCATAAAATCTATTCCCTCCATTGCACTGAACCATCATTAGTAATCTTCTCTCCTCTCCTCTCCTCCTCATAATTCAAAGTTCAGTCTCCAATTCCCTTCACCATCACCTGTTGTCATTTCTCCTCTCCTCCCTGTGTTCAAAGTTCAGTTTGTCTAAACTCTTTACTCAAAACATGATGAACTCAAAGAGGGTCATGGAGACTGCTCGCAAATGGAAGAAGCAAGCGATGAGAATCTCCCTCAAAACAACTACTTCTGAGAAAGTTGGGTTAGTCGCCGACGAGGGTCACTTTATCATTTACACGATAGATGGAAGCCGCTTCATGATTCCTTTGGCTTATCTTAACCAACCTATCTTTAGAGACTTACTCTTGATGGCTGAAGAAGAGTTCGGTTTCACAGGGTGTGGTCCTCTCAGAGTGCCCTGTGAGGCAATTGTAATGGAGTACATAGTCTCCCTGTTGAGTAAGAATGTATCAAAAGTGTTGGAGAAAGCGTCGTTTTCCATGGCCTCTTGTAGAGCCTATCTTGCTTTTCTGGCTGTTCATCGAACTACCCCAGCTAATAGGATTCAACAGGGATTTTGAGTTTGCTGGTTGGGAGCCTGGCATCTGGGATTTTACCAGGTGGAACCAAGCCATTGCTTGTCCTTTGTACAAACAATATAAAATTTTGTTGAAATGTAACAAATTTATACGTCAAATTTTATCAATGCTTGAACTTCTTCAGCAACAATTTTACTTTTTCTGCTAAATTAAAATACAAAATGGCTCCACTAAAACTCCAGCACCGCACCTAGCGTTCAAATCCAGCTAACAAAAAATTTGTGCACTTCAAGATATGATACCAATTCCTTAGTAGTGTGAATAAATGGTAGCATTCACTTGGCATTGTCAGGAATATGCAATCAATAGTAAACATCATCAGGGATATTTTTTAACTTGAACAAGGAAAGAAATAAAAACATCTAAGGAAATAAATAAGGGTCCATGTCTGGTGTTGCCGCAGCTGCACCCTATAGTTTTATGATGACACCAAAAACTCAATCTTCATGATGAATAAAGGACCCCAAAACATTCTAAGACTCCTGAAAATTTATCTCAATCACTAGAAAATGAGATCATAGAACATAATAGTCTCCCAACTTATTGATCTCTCGGTGTGTAGAAATGGCTAGTCCAGATCATGAGGTGAAACATTTTTTTGGCCTCTTGTTCCATTATGAATGTTTTATTTTGCAATGATAAACAGGGTTTCTATTGCCAATCATTGCCAACTTCTCCCTCAATTTAGTAGAATTTGGAATGATTGTAGATTAACTTGTGTTCATAGTGTCTCCGACAAGATTTAATCGAAAACATGCAGGGTGTCCTTGGGAGGGAGTGCAGAATGTTTCTTTTGATTGATTACTTCTAGTAAGAATTATAGCATATTTAATAGTTTTTCTACTATTTTAATTAGCAGATATAGCATGCTCTCACATAAGCATATTGTATACTACCTCCCCAGGAGGAGGAGCCTCCTCCTGGCTATGTTCAAGGGTTATGTCCCTGAAATTTTGAGTCCTAAAAGTACTCCTAGCTTGATTTTTACCCGAGAGAGCAAATGTATGGTATGTTGGCTACATTGAAGGATTATGTCCCTGAAATTTTGAGCTCCTAGCTTGATTTTTTACCTAAGAGAGAGAATGTATGGTATATGCTTTTGCGGAAGCAAAAAGTTTGGTAATTTAGTCAAATGAGGACCAAAGATAAATGATCTTATTGCATACATTCCCAACAATAATTACATAAAAAGCAGAAAAAGAAAACTACTTTCTTTGCATCATCTTCATAATCTTCATATATCTGTAGATCAGTGAACCTTCCCAAACATTATTACATGGGTGTTTGCTTCATGGATAGTTATGTTTTTTGTGTTAGGGACCCCTTATTTCCTATTACCTTATCCCCCCATGTAAGTTATGCACAAATGCAGACAAAGATAAAGATGTGAATGACCATCTACTTAAAGACCAAATTACAAAACATCTAAAACTTTTGCCAACTAATCAAAGACCCAACTCCATGTGCCTTTCCACTCTCTGCAACTAAACATCCCTCTCTAAACCCCATTAATTCATCTATTAATGGTGCCCTTTCGAAGCATGTACCCGTAGGACCATAAAATCTTTTGACATCCATTAACCCCATAGGGAAATAAAACAAAAGAAGAAGACAGGAACTGTGGAAAACCGACATTCCACGAGCCCTTGTTCATGTCACGCTCTTTAAAGAGACATACCATCTTCTCACTCTAACCAGTACTTGAGAAACTGGACCACTTTCCTGCTACAAAACCAAACCATTTCATATGAGCCTCACTTCGTGGGCCCTATGGAGCATCTAAATATATGAAGAGACAGAAAATTGAGCACCCAACTAACATCCAAAATATAAACCCCTCATGACGAACTCCATGTGCTACTGCTTCCTTTCAGCCCAATAACTCTTCTCTCATTCTCCATTGTTTTGTATATAAGTCCATCTCCTGCTCCAAACTCAACACCACTTCCCTCTGCTACTTTTGCTTACATAAGTTCACCCAATCTCCTCATTCAAGCCATGATTAACTCTAGGAGGCTCTTAGAGACAGCACGGGAATGGCGAGTACGGGCCATTAGACAGAGGAGGAGAATCTCCCTCAAGAGCAGTCCTAGTGATTGGGTGAAAGTAGCCCGCGAGGGTCACTTTATCATTTATACAATTGATGGAAGCCGATTCGGGATTCCTTTGGCTTATCTTAACCGCCCCATCTTTAGAGAGTTGCTCCTGATGGCCGAGGAAGAGTTTGGATTCACAGGATGTGGTCCATTAAAGGTGCCATGTGAGGCATTTGTAATGGAGTACACAGTCTCTCTATTAAGCAAGAATCCACCAAAGCAGGTGGAGAAGGCATTGATTTCAATAACATCATGCAGATCATCTCTTGCGTCCCTTGTCCCGCAGAGAACGATTCTGGATAATGCCGTTATTTATGGCTATTAAGCTAGATAGATGGAACTCGAGTGTCGGCAATTCAGCCATGAGCGTAGAGGATCAATCTCTGTTTCTTTGTACACAAGATATACAATATGAAAAATTTACACATTCATATATCATGGTCTCACTCTTCATTTGCAGCTTCTACTATGTTTCATTTCTTTTGGGAAGTTTCCTGCTTATTCTGAGTATTTAGAACATTTCAAACATATAAAAAGGAAGAGTCCCAAAGTTAAACATAATTTGATTTAGCTTTACTGATGAATTGCAAGGATTAAGAACTTCCTTGAAACCTATAATTCACAATGATCTCAAGAGAAGAAGAGACCATTCAAACAAAGGTAATGTGTACTGCAATTTTCACAACTCCAGAAAAAGTCATGAAAGTCTATTCAATGGCTGGATGGTCATCAAAGGAGTACAGGACTCACCAGAATAGGACATGTATTTAATGGTCCCTGGCACTCTTCAACACAACCCAGCAATTGATTGGGTGGTGATGACCTTCATATCCTATGAATGTTCTATAGTTCTGACTTCTGAGGATTAAGTAATTTTCCCCTCACAATAAATATTTAGGGAATTTCACAAGGGAGTACCTGGAATGTCTTAAACTGCCCCTAGAAGCTTGAAAACCTCACACCCTCTAAGAGTCATAGATGTTTATAATGACGGGTAACCTTTCTATGTGCTACCAGGCGTTAGAAAGTCGTACATGCTACCTTCGTCCAGCAGTCCTTTGTGAATAGATCTACCAGGCGTAAGAAAGTCGTACATGCTACCAGGCGTAGGAAAGTCGTACATGCTACCTTCGTACATGCTACCAGGCGTAAGAAAGTGGAATTAGGTTATTTTAGTTTGCCATGAATACTGTTTTTATATTTCTTTTTTATGTCAGCCTCTTTGAGAGGATGAGAATATCTTAAATTTAGTATCAATATGATTTGTAGAAAATAAAATAAAATAATGTTTGAACATGTTTAGACGTAACATTGTGATTGAGACCATCTTATTTGTCCAATTAGATCGAAAAGTCTAGAGTAGGGTGGCGTACATATTTCTTTATACTTTGTGGCGTATAGTAAGGTTCACCTTTAAAGAAATAGACATGGACAACAAATTCATATTTTTAATGAATTTTATTAAGGGAAAGTCTGCAATAAGTCAATATATCTTTGGTATAAGGAGGTCACAATTACTTTTGGCTATGATATTTGAAATAACATGGTCTATAATAAGATAATTTATCTTTAGTATAAAGAGGTTACAATTACTTTCGGCCATTATATTGGAAATCAGACAGTTGGAGGTATTGTCATTGAACAAGCTCAATGTTCAAATGAGAATTTCTAACTTTGTGACACACCCCATGCTCCAAACTAGGTCTTAATTAGACAAAAGGAAAAAGGGAAAAATTACATACTTGTTTGGGCCCCTTTATTACAAGATGCTCCATATTTTGACAAATATAATGCGGAGACCAACCCACTCCGCTGCTTTTTTTTCAGAATTGCCTGCTATCTGACCAAACAGGTGGGAAATTTTGCAATTTAAACTATTTTTCTTTTATTCAAAGTCTATTTGATATCAGAAAAATCAAAAAGCATTATTTCTTTGGTGTTTGCAATGCCGGATAGACAGCTGAAATCAGCATAATATTAAGTTGTCCAGTACTTGTGATACTTGACAGGCTCGATATAGGGCTCAAAAGCATGTCAGCATTTTTCCCTATCATTTTTCCTCTCAATACACAAAAATAAATAAATAAATAAAGGGAAAGTGAGAGCCGGGGGGGGGGGGGGGGGGGGTTATTGCTTACAATACATTCAAATCAATTTTCGGAGCATTTTTATGTCAAAGTTGGTTTTCCAATAACTATTGCATAACTGAACCGAATATTTAACCATGCAAGGATTGTAGCCTCACAAAGCAAATAATTACCTTGTTCTCGGTCTCTTCCAATCGTATATAGACTGCTACAATATTTAATCAGATTTACGGGGTCTTAGTATTCGTTGAAAGGCATAGGCACTTGTTAACATTTTCAGTTGCTTCAATAGTTCAGACTAATTAAACTAATCTTTGTAGCCAAAGGAAAGGGAGAAAATGGTTAGCATTTTCATGCAATGATTCATTTCTGTAGAAATTATAAATTTGTAGAAGTTTGAGTAATCATCTCAAACCCAACTCTTTTAGTGCTTTATATGGAGTTGGACCCAACATGGACCCTGTGAGGGAACACATTAATTGATGTGTGGATCTTGGATATGCCATTGCTATCATCTTACTCACTGATATTGTTAGTTTGATCTTTCTATTTATTCTTTATTACAAATGTGAAAGGTGTATTATTTATTTATTACAAATGTGAAAGGTGATGTACTTTAGGCATATAAAAAAGGGTTATGGGTTTTCTTAATGTATTTAATATTTTTTAACATTCATTCTAAAACAAATTTTCAGAGTAAGGGTATTTTTTGTCAGTAGGAGGAGTAAGATAGATATTTATATGAGAAACTAGTTGCATTTTACTAGTGTCAAAAGCAATTATTGTTTCATGTGAGAGATATCACACTTCATGTGCATAATGTTAAGCTCCACTATAGTTAATGAGTGATTATCTTTCTATCAAGAATTTTTACTCTACCACTGATTAATTTTCTAAAGTACCCGCAGATAAAAAAGTTACGGGATAAGGGTATCAAGTGTCCAAAAATGGTGAATACTTTAAAATAATCATATAAGTACCTTAATATAACCTTTATAAAAAATCTATAAATATGGTTAGGATTTGAATATGGAATGAGAAAGTCGTTCTTAGGCAATCGACCCAGCAACTAATCAGTTCCATTTCTTTATCACCTTTGAACTTTGAACTCTTCCGTGATTGAAATGAATGGATGATACAATTATGCAAACAAAGATTTGACTGAAGATGCTTTTAATTTTTTATGAATTGCTTAGACGCTAGGAAACAAATATTGCATTCAAAGCAAAGGAACCCAGATAACTCCATATTAGGATCCATCCAATATTTGCCAAACCAAGTACACGAATCACTTTAAAAAAAATAAAATTATAATAAAATATAGAAACAAACTATATAAGTGATTTGGATAGTTTTATATAATGACTTGTTAGTTTTTCTTGTGACGAGCTATTTTTATATTTTCTTTTGTTTTTTACAGATTTTTTTAATATTTTCCACCACCACTCAATTTTTCTTATGGGAAAGCTTTCTATTTACCCCTACAACATAGAAGTTCTATGTTCCCTCTACCATCCAGCCGTCTATTTTTTTATCAAGAGAGCCACTCACCATTTGATCTTAGATTCGACATCTCAAAATATTTTATTTTTAGTTTTTACAATACAATTTTTTTGAATATGAAATTGGGTACGTGCTATCTTCTCATTGGGGCGCACCTATAGAAAATATTAACAATAGTTTTTAACTAATGACCAAAATACCCCTTGAAACTTTCAGGGGTATTTTGGTCATTTTATTTTATTTAAAATATTTTTTTATATTTTTCGTTAGTGCGAGTTTAATATAGGAATGGACGTCCAAAATTCGGTGTCAAAAAATTATATAGAAAAAAAAATTAAAAATAAAACAGTGTAGCGGTATGATATTGTGATTGAGATAATCTTAGCCTTCCATTAAAAAATGGACGGTTGGATAAGGTGAACATAGAACTTGTATGTTGCAGGGGAACATAGAAAGCTTTCCTTTTTCTTATATATTTGATAACTTTTTTTGAATTTTTATATTATGATGGGTGCTGTTTCACTTTTACAATTTTTATTTTATTTTGAAGACAATTTTTTAAGGGCCTTTGGGCACTGTACTACTTGGCCAAGTGGAACTCCACTAAGATGGAGTTGGAGGCCCAAGGCCCACTTAAAAAACCATTACAATGATCTATCCATCGAGTGAAATCAAATCAAATATCGATTGATAGCTGTGGTCCAATAGGCTTTACCTTTGCCCAAAGGCGACTGAAATTGTTTGTCTAGAGAGAAAGTACTTCATGCGTCAAGGGACGCACCTCTACAATGGCGTCCCCACGACGCACTAAACATCTATCTATAAGATGGATGTTGAAAAATATCATAGCGAAGTATAAAATTGACCGTATTAGAAATATATCCAAAAATTTTAATTTTAAATTTTAATTTTTAATTTTTAATTTTTAATTTTTAATTTTTAATTTTTAATTTTTTTCTTTTTTTCTTAAATTTATATTGGTTGAGATTTTCATTCTCGAAAATTTTGAATCTAAAATCTATCTCTAAAATAAATTTTGGAGATAGACCACGTTTAAATTGGTGATCTGCCGACTCCTGTAAACCTTATCTAAATAAGACTTTGGGTTCTTGGGTTGGTGGCAATAATGTTGAGGACAGCGGCACCAAACTTTGTCAATCTTTAAATGTATTTTTAAGTACTTTTACCCTTTGCTTTTGTCGTTTCTGAAATCTTTAAATGTATTTTTAAATATTTTTAGCTTTTGTTTTTGTCTTTTTTAAATTAAATTAGTACATGTTAACTAATCCAACATGTCCGTTCCACGTGTAAGGAGTACGCTTTTCTGAAATCTTTAGATGTGTTTTTAAATATTTTTACCCTTTGTTTTTGTCTTTTTGAAATGGGTGCAGTTTGTATAGAGCCTAGGCTCTAAACAATCAAATTAGAACGTACTTTCCAATAGCATCGAGAAATGTGGTTTCAATATTAGAAATTTTTGTGATAGCCTTAAAATAAATTTTCATCTTTATTTATAAATTTTAAATCTCTAAAAATAGTGTTGATCGATATATCTATGAAATTTTAAAAATATTGAAAATTAACTGTCTAAAAATATATTACAAAATACACTATTTTCAAAGCTTGAAATCAATTTTTTTCTCAAATCAATACATCTTGATGTCAATTTAATGATATTTGGGCATCAAAACAACCTTCTTCTAATGAAATGAAATTATTGACGTAGGCTAAAATT